GCTTCTGGTTCAGGGGGTGGGGAAGAGGCTTGGAGGGGATTAACTCATGTCTGTGGCACCACCACTATCCCTCTGCTCTAGGGTTCCAAACGTGAGTCTCTGCAGACTGTGCATTGTGAGTTCCACAAGATCAGCGCCAGTCCTGAGGGGTGGGGTGGGGTAGGAGGACTAGGCATCCCAGCTCACTGTCCTGTTCCTTGCACTGGTCACCCAACTTCTTCATATTTAGCTCCCTCATTCAGTGGTGTGCACTTCCACACTGCAGAGCCCTCCCCTCTCCAGGGCCACTGGCCAGATACTTTGTAAGGCGGTCTCCTACCCAAGGTTGCAACTTCTAGGCTGTGCTCCACCCAGATCTTGCTAAATGAAGCATGAATTGCTTCAATGTCCTTTCTGGTAGAGCCTTGCTGGTACCTGATTTCCAAGAAGTGTTTCAGTTTCACCCCAAGTCAGGATCCTCTGGGTGCAGCACCAGGTAGGTTAGCTTTCAGATCATTCTCCCAGGAACAAAGTAAGGAACATCCTCTGAAATCACCTTTGAATCTTATTGAACAGAGTTTAAGCAAGTTTTCTCAACTTTTACTATGGAATCTCTTGGGAATTTTGCTTGTTATTTTTGTCATGATGTGAAACAAATGTTGCATGGACTATGCTTAAAAATAGAGGTTCATTAATGTTATGCTAAGAGTCAGTATTAAGGCATTTCGGTGAGGAGCACACTGAATGATAGTGATGTGTTCCACTTACGCGTGGGCCAAAAATACTCCATGATGAGTTAACTTTTTTAAAATTATCAAGTTACTATATCCAATACCTTAAGTATGTGGCTAGTCTGTAGATGATAAACCAGTCTTAGATGCCACACAATTCATCCTCTGAATAAATTGCCAAAAGAAGTATACACAAATGTGTTGGCCATCAGTGAATGGACACTTGAGTCTGTCCTGATATTTCAACCACTGTGTCATTCACTGACCTACGATCTTTAAATAAGTTAATGCATTTGATTTGATTTTAGGCAAATTGTGAAGATGGGAGTCACTGCTGTCTCACAAATATCTCAATATGACTTTACATGATACTTTAAATAAGCCAAGTGCATATTTTTAGTTTGTCACTAGAGAACAACCTGATACTATAACTATTACTTTTACTTTGAGACTCTTGGTGGCTATTTTACTGATCTGTAAGCTCGAAGATTTTCAAAGGCTATTTCTTGATATGGGGAAATTAATCTTACAAGCAGAGTGGGAAAAATAAAAAAAAACTAGCCACAAAATAAGATTATTAAAGAGACTAAACATGCGAATAATCAAGGGTGGCATTTAAAAAATCACCAACATGCCAACTGAGATATTTACATATTCATGTATTTAGCTGTCTAGTTAGTGTAACCGTCAACTTTGCTGGTGTCACGGAGAATTAAAAATCTTAGCAGTCTGTAACAAATATGTATTTCATACTCAGTTTTTTTGGCCTCCAATGCACATGGACCTAAGAAGTAGTCCCTATTTTAGAGGTACTATTATCACTGCAGATGGAAACGTAAGAAAACTGGAAAAAAAAACATAATGGCTTTGAAGGACCTGTTCAAACAGTGTAATGTCGTATTTGCACGTTCAGATGGACAGGACAGCACTGTCTCCCACAGGAGACCCAGAAAGGCCACTTTGAGGAGAGGGGATGAATAATGCTCTCACAGTGAATAACACGAATATCTGACAATAGTACTCTATTGGCTATTTTCTTGTTTCTTTTTTTTTTTTTAAAGAAAATGATTTTTTTTTATCTTTTTAATTTTTTTTTTATTTTTTTCCAACAATAATTGCTTCCCCACACCCCCCCAGGTTGAGTCCCCATAGAATTTCCTTCCCCAAGGCACCCATGCACCCCCCTCCCTCCCTCCGATCCCTCTCCCTCCTCCTCCCCTGCAGTATGTCTCTGATTTGTAATTGTCTGGTTTTGCTTTGTTGTGGGTTTGTTTTTTTTTTTTTTAAGATTCACTTATTTATTTATACAAGCACTGGGCACAGCCAGAAGCATGGGAGGGTGAGAGAATTCACCAGAGCCAGAGCGGGGAACAGAACAGGCAGACCGAGGAAAATACACTGCTGAGGGGAGCAGCGGGCGGCAGGAGAGGTCTGTCATGCCATGTGGGACCCTCCCCGGCGGCCAGGGATCGAGCCAGTGCTGCAGAGGCTGTGGCTGCGGGCATCTTCTCAGCCCAGTGCTCAACCACTGCGCTACCAGGGGAGGCCCAGCTTTGTTGTGTTTTGTACTGTTATTATTTTTTTTTAACACTGATGTCTTATTTGGTTCCCCTATATTCCTGTTATAAGTGAAATCATCCGATATTTTTCTTTTTCCTTCTGGCTTATTTCACTGAGCATATTTCCTTCTAGCGCCAGCCACATTGCTGCGAATGGCATGAGTTTATCTTTTTTGATTGCTGAATAATCCAGTCAAGAAATGGGCAGAAGAACTTAAAAGACATTTCTCCGAAGAGGAAATGCAAATGGCCAACAGGCATATGAAAAAATGTTCAACATCCCTGATAATCAGGGAAATGCAAGTCAAAACCACACTGAGGTACCACCTTATACCAGTGAGAATGGCACATATCAAAAAAATAAGCAACAACAAATGTTGGCAAGGATGCAGTGAAAAAGGAACTCTCCTACATTGCTGGTGGGAGTGCAAACTGGTCCAACCACTATGGAAAGCTGTCTGGAGGTTCCTCAGTCTACTAAAAATGGAGCTACCATATGACCTGGCAATTCCACTCCTAGGGATCTACCCAAAGGACACAAAAACACTGATCCAAAAGGCCACCTGTACCCCTATGTATATTGAAGCACTATTTATGATGGGTAAAACCTGGAAACAACCCAAATGCCCAAAAATAGATGACTGGATCAAGAAGATGTGGTACATATACACAATGGAATATTACTCAGCAATCAAAAAATATATTTTTTTTTCTTATTTCCTATTACATTTAACAAACATTTTCATTGCTCCTCCATATGCTCTTCATGTTTCTAGATAGTCAGATAGGAATAGGGGTTTCCCTTTTCTCCTTCATAATTGTCCATACTGTATCATTTCCCATTTCTTGACTGTCTTGAAATAAGATACAACCTTATTCAACTTTGTTAAAACTCATATTTCTTGTGTCTCAGAGGAAAACATTTTTTAAAGACATTTGATTCTCTGTTCTGATCACATTATGCCCTCTCCTTTTATTCTCAATTTTCAATTGACAATTGATTCTCATTGTCCTGAATTGAATCATTTTAACCAAACTTCCTAACCTCAAGACACTGTTAGGCCTCTAATTATATTGCTACAGGCTTCCAAAGACTTTAGATGGATGCACTAAATAGGAACCCCACACTGTGCACGCAGAAGTCAAGTGGGCTTTAACAGGTCACATCTTGAATGGTGTGTAACAGGTCTTATCACAGTTCCTCATTCATATTATTCTTGTTACTGTTGTAGGAACCATTTATTATTTGATACCTGTTTTTCCCCCTAATGCTCACTAAGAACATTACCATTTTACTGTCATCACTCTGCTTTAATATTCCGGAGAGCGAGTTACTTATGCAATTTAAATTAAAATCATTTCAGTGATAGGTTGTGGGCTTTCTTATATTTACAGTGATAACTCTAAGTCAAGTGTGATTATTTGCAAGTAGCATCACAGTCAAATCAGAGTAGTTTGATGCTAGTATTTCTTACAAGAATGCTGGAGTTTTCCCACCTCTGGAGACATGCTTCACCCATTTGAATAATCCCTTTGGAGATGTTAGTAAGTCATAACTGTTCTACATCTGTTTAGTTTCCTGTAAGATGGAGATAAGCACATTTGCTTAGTTCCCTTTGTGGGCTTTTGTACTAGCATAACACATAGGTGTGTATACTGTAATATTAAGCACAAAAAATATGGTCATATTGCTATTAACAGTGACATAATTATTTTTAATATTTATCTGATTATATTACAAACATGAATAAGCAGGTCAGTGTCCTGACATGGAAATGTGTGTCCACTGTAAATGACAGTCCTCTTAACAATCTTAAGCTCTTTGGTAACTGCTCTGTCCCATGTTCGCAGGAGACAATGTGATAGGAATAATTCCAAATTAGAAATGTTCCTTTCAGTGGTTGACTTTGCCCTCTAATCATATTGCCAATTTCAGGTTTACTTAGGACAATGAATTAAAATTCAATGGAATGGATAACTCAGCCATGGCTCACTATACCAACCAATTTTCTTAGAATTTGATTATGCTTGAAATAAATGTATTGAAATAGTCGTCAAAAATCCAGTTGAGCCTGTATATAAAAGACATTTATATTATAATGAAGGTTCATTTTCTTCTAGAGACCACAGCATACTAAAATGCTGGGTGACATTAAAATATTGTTATTAACCATAACTCAGACCTGGATTCACTTTTACGTTATGTACGAACAATCAGAGGAGGGTTAGAGGGCAAATGTCGGAGCTGAGCTTAATGAGCACTGAGTAGGGTATTTGAACTTGTCATGGAGAACAATGGGTGGGCAGGCATTTTGAATTATCAAACTTCTGAGTTCCCCCCCCCCGCCCCATTTATGGCAAGATTTTGGAGAGCTTAGCAAATTGAAGTCTATATGAACTATTCTTATCCTTTTATGAGCCAGAGAACCATTAAACATTTTGAAAAGAGTGCATCTCTGGTTTCACCTCAATTTTTTACCTGCTTTTTTACTCTCCAGTTTGAAGATGTGCTCAGGTAAAAATATCCTTGTTCCTCTTAGCGAGGCAAGAATGTCTTTTCGTGCTTATTTGGACATTGTCATCATTAGTTATATCTTCACTCATCAGTTAGCAGACCTCTAATATGTGTCAGGGACTGCAATGAGGTATGTTGTAAATAATATTTCAACCTTTTGAAACTGTCTCAAAATTTTCATTGTCTTTTCTGTAGGGTAAACGTAATGATACTTACTGTTAGAAGGCATTTTGAATTTCCCAAGATTATAGAGTCACTAGAAATGAAAGAAGTGGGGTTAATCTCCCATGCTTTCTCTACAACTTTTTCTCCTAAGTGTACCAAAGAATTGTATACAGTTAATCAATTTGTCCAGTGTATTTCCAACAAGTAGAGGACTATATTTCCTTTTATCTGAGAGTAACCATTAGTGCCCAGAATGAAGGCTGTAGGGGCCTCCCTGGTGGCGCAGCGGTTGAGTGCTGGGGTGCGAAGCTGCCCGCAGCCTCTGCAGTGCCAGTTCGATCCCCGGCTGCTGGCGAGGGTCCCACATGGTGCGCAGACCTCTCCTGCTGCGCCCGCTGCTCCCCTCAGCAGTGTACCTTGGTCCTTCTACCTGCTCTGCTCCCCGCTCTGGTGAATTCCCTCACCCTCCCGCACTTCTGACTGTACCCAGTGTAAATAAATAAATCTTAAAAGAAAAAAAAAAAAAACAACCCAAAATGAAGGCTGTAGAGCAAAGACTCATTTTAACCTCTTTTTTTTGGATTAAAAGGGAAGAGAGGGCAGATCTACAATGTGTAGGACCGTAGGTGCAGTCCCAATTTGGTATGAGAATAGAAAATAACCACGGCTGTGCTGGTGAGGACCAGAGAGCTTAGGAAAGGATGTTGGATACTTTGAAAGGAAAGATGGTGACTATCAGAATAGGGAGGTTTTGCTAAGGGGAAAGTGGCTAAGACAGTAAATTCAAGGCATCAAGATGACGTGTATAACCTGAAACATTCATTTTTTTTATGTATATATTTGTACATCATTGTTCATTTTTGTGCAGTATTTGATTTTATTCATTCTGCGGTTAGAAGCCTTTTGATTCTCAGCTGACAGGGGCCATTTGAGGCGGACGTCAACTAAATTATAAGAGTGGAAGAAGTCAAGCAGATAACTCACCCAGGGGTTTGGCGATATGAGATGGCCAAGCAGATTTGTGTTAATTTACAGTATATGAAGGATATTTTGGGATTTTTAAGGGGTTGCATTGAATCTGTAGATTGCTTTAGTAGCACAGCCATTTTAATGATATTTTTCTAATTCGTGAGCATAGAATACCTGTTCATCTCTTCCTGTCTTCTATTTCTTTCAACAATGTCTTAGTTTTCTTTTACTTCATTGGTTAAATTTATCCCAGGACATTTAATTCTTGTTGATGATGATTGCGAATGCGGCTGTTTTCCAGACATCTCTGCTAGTTAATGATTTGTGCCTGTGAAGCCAAATTTACTGTCTGTGGATTAGAAAGAAAAGGCATGATTTAGATATTCTTCTTGTAATATCACAAGGATTTAGAAGATGATTTCAGACCAAATACAAGTAATTTTTAATTTTCAACAGGTATCACTAAGGGATTTGTTTGAAGTCAAACATAGAAAGTTACTTAATGCAATTTTCAAAAGGTTTAAGTTCAGTACATCACGAGAGTAAAACATTTAGAGTTTATTCCTAAACATACCTGTTTACCATACTCTCCTGCTGCTTTTGTCTTTTATGTGTACACAGTAGTTTATAAACTTGAGATCATAGTGACTATACTGTCATTTTATCTAATCCTCAATATTTGGCAGTAGTTCCATGCTACTTTATTTTTTTAAAAGATTTATTTATGCATACAAGAACTGTGGTACAGGCCAGAGGTATGGAGGGTGAGAGGATTCACCGGAGACAGAGTGGGGAACAGAACAGGCAGATTGACTGAAACCCACTGCTGAGGGGAGCAGCGGGCGAGACAGGAGAGGTCTGTTGCACCATGTGGGTCAGCTCCCAGGCCGGGGATTGAACTCGTGCTGCAGTAGTTGTGGATTGTTTCATAGTGTTGACGCTAAACCGCTTATACCACCAGGGACGTCTCCCATGCTACTTTAGAGATAAAGTTCAGGAGTCCCAGTCACCCAGCATGTCAGTACAGGTCTGAGGACATATTGGTAGGAATTATCTACTGGAAAGATTATGGAGACATATTCTTTTGTCTTTATGCTCATTCTTAAAAGCGTTCTGCTACTCGTCATAATTTCTTTCCTACCTTTATTTTCTTCTCTAGACTGTATGTCTCCTCACATGTACTCACAATTACTTTGAGAGAGGTGGTCCTTTTTTTTTTTGGTGATCCATTTCTACCTGCCATACCCTCCTGTTGTCCATGTTGCTTACCCTGTACCCACCGGGCCCTGTGCGTCTCTGGCTGGTCCTGATCACCCTCTTGTGATCACTTTCTTGCATCTCCCACCAAAGTGATCTGATTAAAGGCACAGTTGGGTAAGTTCCAGCCTCTGGGAATATCTCCTAATAGATGTCTAGTGCTGGTTGGCTCACACTCTGTCCAGATTCCATTATTTCATAAGTGAAGAATTTAAGGTCTAAGAAGATTTAATGACTTGTCCAGGGTTATTACACAGGTGGGCTATTATATCTAATTGCTGTTAAATAGGGAGTTCTAAAAGGCAATACACAGGTCTGTATTAAGATAAATTATTTGTAAAGGGGCACAACATGTAAGGACTCCCAAAGAGCAATGGCTTCTAGGTGGAAAAGTATAATCTGCACTTGTAAAGTACGCAACAAAATCTCTAGGAAGCAACCAGTTCTTTCTCAACTAAAACTCCCCCCAGAATGAAAATAAACACAAAAACCTCTGTTCTGGGGTCCCTGGTTTAGACTGCCTTCTTAAAATGAAATCCATCTTTTCCAGTGAGCTCACCAGGAAATTGCAAAACAAACCCAGTTTAAAATGGCTAAAAATATGCCACTTCATGTAAAAACAATGAGCTCTGTTCTTTTTGACACAGTGTAACTAGTACCAAGAAGAATACATTCAATGAGCTAAGTCACAAAAAAGATTTGAAAGTCGTAGGTGCTTTATTATAAAGAGGTTGGATTTTGGTTGTTGATTCAACTTTGTCATGATGGGGGTGTATTTTCAGGAGTAGTGAATTTGTTTCCGATGATCTGGTTTCCTCTTTAGACACAATGGAGAACTTGGAGTGTCTATGAAAACTTTCAGTGTCTGCGAAATAGCTCGACGGTTTTGGGGTGGCTGACATCACTGAACTTGGGGTAAGTCTCATTGAAACTAGATGAGAAATAGAAGTTTTCTACTCAAGTGTATGTGGAAAGGCACACATCACTGTAATAATGGGATAGCAATGTGCAGAAAACAACGCTTTTATAATTGAAAGTTTTTCCAAGAACGCTGAGAACTAATGTGACAAAGAGGAAGAGAGGAGCCCTGGAACTATCTATTCAGACTGCCATGCCAAAGGGACTAATCTCAGCAGGACTGAAGGATCAGGTTTGTACAGTCATAACCAAGTCACCTATTTTATTTGCATCGGTAAGCAGAGTGGTTCTGCTTTCCTGTAAGTTCATATTGATTTTTTATTCCATCTTCAAAACATCTGTGTCAAGTAAATGTTATGGTAACCATTTGGCAAACAAGAGTGGGCTAAGTGTCAAGCTGTCACCTGGATACGGGGTTTCTCATTTTTAATCTAGTTTATTTGACATAGCATAGACTGTGTAGACAGAAAGACAATCATTGTTGTCTTGACATGATTCCAAGTCAGCCCTTTGCTCACTGCGTGACCATAGAAGTTACTTGACTTCTTTGAGCCTCAGTTTCTTCAGAGATAGGGAGACACTAATGTAACCAAATTGTTGGAAGGATTAAGTAAAATAAGGTTTGAAAAAAATTAGCATAAAATAGCTAAGCCCAATTAAGTCTCATTTTCCTTTCGATTCCAGTTATCCATCTGCTGGAGATGTTTGTTATCTCTAATGTGCTAGAAAACAGTCCCACACTCACAGAGTTTGCAGAAACTTGAGAATTATTTACCAGGGAGGCACTTTGAAATTTTAAACTAGATTTCCCAGCGGTAAACAACTTTATGTTCAAAAAAAGATTCAAAATAAATGTACTCATATACTTGGTATGTATTTTTCTCCTCAAGAAAAAAAACAAATGTTAGCAGTCAACATCGCTGCACATGTTGCAACATCTACTAAGCGTAGCCATACCTGGCTCTGTCTGGTGGAATTAGATCTCCACAGGAATTTGCTTTGCAAATACTTGACAGAAAACGTGCAGCTATAAAATACTTCTAAGTCCACACATCTTCATCCTTGCTAATTCGAGATGTCATAAGAGTAAATTTAAAGAAGCAGGTAAATTAATTCATTTCCAGCCCAAAGCCAACTTTCAATCTTGTTTTCCCTGGATATCCCTTCGGAAAACCCTCTGAGATTTCCAGCAGAAGAAAGTCGATTAATTTCCCATGTACTTGTTGATGCGAAAGCTACCAGGATTATGGGTTGACTATTTCTAGTGTAGGGAAAGTAAGGGATGCAATTAATCTCTGAACTGAAATATACCTCTTTTCATTAATCTTTTATTGTAAATGAGCAAAGTAATTGAACCAGCACCACACTGTCAGAATGAATGCAATGCCGGTGGGATATGCTTGGGAGAGCACATACTGATTGAGTATTAAATATCTAACGGCAATAATTTACGGTTCATTACCTCTTTTGGAGTTTCTTCGTTGCAGAGAGCTTGAATTCTAAGCAGTCAGACTCGGAGTAGAAAGAGGTTTTCAAATGTGGAAGGCAGAAGTACACACACAGCACAGTCTCCTCATGTGGGCAGCCTCATCCTTATTTGAATCAGACTCCCAAGAGCATTGGCAAGCAGGGCCGAGTGTTCTCAGGACAGAAAGATGCCATCTCCTTATTCCAGAATCCCCGCTTGCCTCCCTGCGGTGTGTTTATGACGCGACCAGGTCGCGTGGACACCGGATGGTGAAGAAGAACCTCATCTGAGCGGGGATCCTGCCACCTCCCGTGCACATCCCCACCCAGGCCTCTGGTATTCAGGCAGCCTCACTTTGGGCTCCCTTTGGCCAAGCTACTGTTAACTGTGGTCTGCCTCCCCTGCGGCACAGTCTTGTTGCACGTGGAAGTGGGAGCTCTTTCCCCTGCTGGTGACAAAATAGATCACCTGAAACAATGTTCATAGAAATAGGTGTTTTGGATTTGAAGGTTGTGCCTTAAGCACGCGAGGTCGGAACAGGCCAAACACTTAAAACAACATGGGTTGCAGATCGGTGGCAAAGAGGTGCTGGGGCTCTTTGTGCAGTGATGGCTTTTTAACACATTCCTTTATTTTGGTTTTACCTCCATGTGCTGAGGTGCAGCTAATATTAAAACCAAATTTATTTCAGGAGAAAAACTGGGTGGCTGCCTTAGATTCCTAGTGTTTGCAATGTGTCTTTCCAATGCAATTTCAAGTAAAACCACATGGGCTTTGGAACTGAGGCGGATGTAAGTATAGAATCATGCCTGAGAATGTTAACTTTTCATGGCACCCCCCACCCCCGATCTAATAGGCGACGTGGAAGCTCTTCTGTCTCTTTGCCTGTTTCTGTGGTCCTCTCTGTCTCCATTTGGCTGACTCTCCACCTCTCACCATCCCTCGCTGTTCATCTCGTTTCGCTCTGTGTGACCATCTCCATTTTCTTCCTTTTTGGTGTCTCTCTCCCTCCGTCCACTCTGCCTCTGATTCTGTTTCTTGCCCCTCTGACATCTTTCTCTGCGCGCCGCCATCTTCGTCTCTGGGGCGTTCCTCTACGTCTGTGACGTCCTGTGTCTCTCCCTGTCTCCCTCACCTCGTTGTCTCTCCCACGTCTTTCTGCGTCCCTTTGTCTTCCTCTGAGGCTCTCCTTTCTGCACGTCTGTCTGTCTCGCGTCTCCGATGTGCACCTCCTTTCTGTGTCCCGCTGTCTCCTCCTCACCGGCTTCTTTACTTCCTGCCTGTTTCTCTCCCCTCGCTTCTGTGTCCAGCTCTCATCCCTGCCTGTGTGTGTCTCATCTACGTTTCTGTGTCCTTCTCTCATCTTTGTCTCTCCGCTGCTTCTGTGTTGACATCGTGTGTGTCTCTGTTTCTCCATCTCTGTCTCTACCACCGAACTGGCAGTCCGTGTATTCTCCACTCCCCTCGTTTCCGTCTGCGTCTCTCCTCTGTGTCTCTCTCATCCCTGTGCTCCGTCTCTCTCATCACCATCTGTTTCTGGGCCCGTCACTTTGTCACGTCTGTCTTCCTCTTTCCATCTGACTCTCCCCTTCTTGCCCAGTGTCTCCCCTTCTGGCTGTCTCATTTCTGTCGCCGTGTCCCTCTCTCTGCCGCCTGTTTCTCTTTCCAGCCCTGTCTCCTCTGTTAAACATTCTGTGTCTCTCTCTGGTGTATCTCCTTCTATCTCTGTCTCTCACCTATGTCTCGGTGTCTCCTGCCTCTCGTTTGTCGCTGCCCCTCTCTGTCTCTCCTTTCTATGTGGCTGTTGCTCCTCTCACCTCTACCATGTGTCCCTTTCTCTCCACCCTCTGCGTCTTCCCTCTCTGCCTCTCCCCTGGCGCTGGCATCTCTCTCTCTCCTCGGGCTGTGTCTCTCGTCATCTGTTTTTGTGTCCCCCTGTACTTCGTCTCTGACTCCCCATCCCCGGCCTTTTCTCTGTCTCCCTTCTAGCATCCGCATCTCTGGCTAAGTCTCTTCACTGCGTCTCCTTCCTCGTCTCTCTCATGCGTCTCCCGCTGTCTCCAGGCCTCTCCCGCCGCCCGCCCTGCGCCCTCTCCTCTCTCTGCGTGGCTCTCGTCCGTGCGCTCTCCCGTCTACGTCTTTCTCTCCAACTCTCATCTGCTTCCACGCCCCTCTGGGGCTCTACTCTCATCACGCCCTGTGTCTCTCCGTCCGTGTCTGCCCACCCATCTCTGACCTGGGTCTCGGAGTCACGCCTGTGTCTCTTGTGTGTCTTCCACCCCGTCTGCTTCCGTGTTCTCTCCTGGCACCTGTGTCTCGTCCTGGCCCTCTCCTACGGCTCACGTCCGGACTCCCTCTTCGTGGTCTCTTGTGTCTCTCTCATCCCTGTCACTGGGTTCCTCTTTCTGTCAGTCTCTCTCCTCTGTCTGTTATCCATGTGCTCCCTTAGGTCTCCTCGTCTTTCCATGCTCCGCGCTCATGTCCGACTCTCTCTGCTCCTGTGTGACTCCCCCCCGCCCCGGGTCTCTCCTCTCTCCACCCATCTGCTTTCCTGTCACTCTCTCTCGTGGGCCTATTTCTGTGGCCGTCTCTCCTCATCTGTCTCTGAGCTCGTCTCCTTGCTGTTTGTCTCCCTGCCCGTGGTTCTCAGTCTCTCCTGTATGTGTCACTTGTGTCTCTTCCCCGGCCTCGTCTGCTGCTGTGATCCTCTCCGTCCTGTGTCGTCTGTTGTTCCTCTCTGCTGTCTCATCTCTGTGCTCCTGTCTCTTTCATCTGTGCTTCCCCTTGGGTCTCTCTTGTCCCTGTCCCTCCGCCCTTTCTCTTCTGTCTGCTGCTTCCTGGCCCTCGTGTGTGAATCTCCTTTCTCGAGCTCTGTCACTCCTCTCTTAGCCCTGATTCTTGATTCTTCCCCTTCTGTGTCCTTCTCTCATGTCTGTCTCTCTCTCTTCTCTTGCTCTTTCTGAGTGTCTGAGTCTCTTCCCCTGTCTCCCTCTGTCCCTGCCCACTGCAGCTCTCTTTTCTCAGCCCCTTTTCGATGTTCCACTCTGCTGCGCCCCCCTCCGTGCTGAGTGTCACTGCCTTTCTCGTCTCTCGCCATGTCTGCTTCTGAGTCTGTCTCCGTCTCTCACTCCATTGTCCTCTCTGCCCTGTCGCCTCAGTGTCTCTCTGCCTGTTTCTACCCAAATCTTTCTTTCCAACACTGATAGGTCTTTCCTTTTCGCCTCACTATCTGCCCCCTGGTTTCTCCTCTGTACCTGTGCTGGCCTCTGTCACCTGTTCCTGTGTCTCATCTCTGTCGCTGCGTCCCTGTTTTACTCAGGCTCTGTCCTCTTCTGTGTCATGTCTCTCTCTGGCGGACCCGTCTGTCTGTTTCTCCTCCCTGAGTCTCTGTCTCCTGTCTCTGTGTTCCTCTCTGACTCTTTCCCCATGGCTGTCTGTCTCTCTCCTGTGCCTGTCCCTGTCTGTCTCCGCTTGGGGGTCTCTCTTACCCATGCCTCCCCCCGTGTCTCTGTCCTGTGCCCCCTGCTCC